AGAGACGAAGTATTCGTTATACTGGACGTCGATGCGTTTTGCGAATTTTAAGAGTAACCTGACATCGAATTTCCATGTTTCATTTAGTTTCTTGATCTGCGAAGCTAATAGATATCTAAGACGAGTTCTATAATGCTGAACTGAGGGATAGGAGGTGTTCCAGTCTCTCTCTCATGCCTACTTCCTTGCATTTTCTGCATGTATCGTCGTTACTTATGCACATCCGGCACGCATGTGAAGCTGTCATTGGACCAACAACCGTCCTGCAGTCTTTTCGGGTTTCGGGGCTCTTACACATGATCTTGGCATGTCCTTAAGGCATTCCATCTCGCCCTGATCCGTCTCTCAGCCCTTTTGGAAATTTCATTGTATATCGGTTTTAGTAACTTGCGTATTTCCCATACAGGTTCGGTAGTCAGACAGATGGCACTTTTGGCAATTTCATCACCTATTTAATTTCCCGGAATTCTTTTGTGGCCTAGAACACAGCATACATGCAGCCGCTTTCCGGCAGCCACCACATCTACTGCTTCCTTTCTCTGACGAAATGCGATGTAAGGTTATTACCTGGCTACCGACGTATGTATATATTGATCTTCTTTATATTATATTATTTCCTGCGTTGTTTGCTATCTCAGTCAATACTACCGTATACCGGAAGCTTGAAGGGTCGCCTGTGATCCTGCTTCTAGCAATAGATGCTGGCTCCCTCTCCATTAGCCATTTTTGATCTATCCGTATAGATGTTGTAAGTTTCGCTGGCGGGTCGCATGCTAATGCGCCTTTCACCCTCTTTAGTGTCAGTTGTAACCTTCTTTACCAAATAAAGCGTAAGGATAGCTGGTCTATATCATCCACCAATAAATTTGCATTATTTGCAAGCGTTGTTCTAGGTTAAGTCTGTTCATTATAAAATGGCAAACCAAACTGACTAAAAATCAAGTAACAGCTGTCAAAAACACCAATTTCGAAAAAAATTATGTCTCATTGCATAACAAACGTCTAAAAAAACTCCCGTTATATAACCAACTCTAGGGATATTTCTTTCATTCTTCTTCGAAGATAATAATTTCAGTAGTTATCATGTGCTTATGTTATAATACAAGTATGTAACATATACGAATAGAAGATGCACAAACTAGCTCATAAACATTTATTAATATTATATGTACTTATATTGCAATTTTCATTAAACAAGAGACTTTACTGCAACTATATGAAGCTCTATAGTATAGGTTGACTCGCTCTTGAATGAAGTGTAAATTATCACATTCTCATAATTTTAGTATGCACAAGAGTAAAGAATTAATTTCCCTGGTGTGTAAAATGTAAAGGGGATTAGTGAAAGTAAATTTGAACAATAAAGCTACAAAGGCGAAAGGTTGACAACGGTGATAAAATTATAAGTTTACTTCTTGTTGTAAGGGCAAAAAGTTGCAGGAGCATCTGAAGGAATTTATAATTCAAAGATTATGAATTCTTAATACTAATTTTAGGCGAAGATTTGCTCTGATTTGTCTTTGCTTAGCCACATTGAAATAGACTGAGTAATGACAGTTATAACATGGAAACACCTTGATTTTTTGATGCACTTCACTAAAAATGGGTGTTATGCGTCTTAATTACATAAGAGGGTTAATACAATTTGAAGCTGATGAAATACATTAAAATACATTAAATATCTGTATGAAGGCGTGAATAGTGTCATAAAACCCTTTCTAATAGTATTTTAAGTTACGTTGGGGCAGTCTCAATGTCATTATTCACGCTTTTCTAAACTTCTCCTCTGCTTTGAGTTGGACCTCTCGTCATTACAATAACAACAAGCGCAAACCGTCTTTAAACGTCTGATAGATTTTATTAGAAGTGGTCTTATGACAGAAAATATGCCCTCTGAGGAGCGATCTACGTAAATTTTTTTATATTTTTGATGTTAGTGGGATGCTGGGATCGGACCCAGACCATATATAGATGTGGTGCCCACCTCCAAGTACTTAGCATTAACAATGGATATATTGAAAAATACAGATAATACATCAAGAAATTGGGTCGGTATACTACTCTGACAGAATGTGTCTCAAATCGGCGAACAACTAACCAGCATAACTCATAGAACAAATATACTTGTACATATAAATATTTGTAAAAAAGTAAAAGCTGATAATAATTTTTAGTAAAATATTACAGTGTAGTAAAACAATAACGATTTTACAAAAACATGAAAATATACACTGAAACTATAAAGGGTGTTTTTTTTAAGTATAGAACTTTTCACTCAATAGAATAAACTATCTTTTGCGGGAGTTTTGCTAGTTCCCGAATTGTATGGAATTATAGCAGAAACGATCCTATTTTACACCAATCTTTCCGGCATAGGTTCCAGTTCGCTATTAGCGCCTGATAGATGGATTCTAATTGGTAAATCATTCTGATTTCTCAGCACAGAACATTGACTTGACGCACCGCTAAAAAAAAAGTAGGTTAAATTCCATAACCTAACTGACCAATTGACAGCTCCTTGGTTATTTAAAGTTCGTCCAAAATGTAAAGAACTTTGATAGCAACTCTAGTTATACTTTCAGTTTTATAAAAGTATGGAAAAACAGCACATATCACATAGCTAGAAATATGACTCATTCCTGATGTGTGTAAAATAATCTGTAAATTCAACTCATAGAACAACAGCCTTGCAATGAAAGGAAAAATAATTTACGGCTGATCTGTGGTTGGGAAGAGGAAAGGATGTAGTGGTGAGTTTTTAAGGATTAAAAACAGTTTAACTCGATATTCCGCTAAACTACGAGTCTTTTGTATTTACACCTTCTTCACATAATCTCAAAATGTATGTGAAAAATTCAAATATCTTTTTGGTTTTTATTTTTATCTTGTACAACCAAATTTTTTTCACAAAATTTTGTATAAACTAGCCTTTTCATGTTCAAAATATATTATATTTTTTTAAGTTTTCGCCTTTAAAAAAACATACTAATTGATATCTCAAATTTGTTCAAAGTTTTTGAGTTACAGACATTTAAAGGGCAGCTCAAACAGCTTCGTCAGTTTATCTTTAAACTTGTTTTTCTCGAAACAACATTTGTTTGTTTGCTGAAGTGAAAACTCGAAGACAAATGATACGATCATTACCATTTTTTTCTGCCTGTTCTGTACATAACTCTACATACAATGACCGATCGGTTTTTTGATCTGAATAGAAATCGAATTTTGGCAGGTCAGAAACCTCCAAAATTTAGGATAGAATTCAACATTTTTTTTTACAACGCCGCAGAGAATATCTTCTAGTTTACCGAGACAGTGGAGCAGCAGTGTAAGACCTTTATTAAGCGCCATCGGATATCTCGTATAACTCCAAAAAAAAATTTTTTTTTTCAAAAGTTCACTGTATATTCTTAAAATATATGTAAATACACCCTGAAAATTTAAAAAATATCGATGCAGTAATTTTTTTTACTTCTTAAAAATCAACATGTTTTTAGGCAGTCACACTAGGTGTATCCTTTAATATCGAGAAAACACCCTAATTTTTAATCGAAAATTCACACGTCGAAATGTCCCCTCTTTGCGTTTCTTCTTCTTTTGATTTTCTTGCTTTAAAATTTGTTATATTTTCAATAATGTTTTCGAAGTTATTAGTTTTCACTATCATTTAGAAGTATTTATCCACTATCTTGGTATAAAAAGTTCTATTAGACGAAATATGTAAAGGGTCTACAAAAGTGGTCAATGTCGTTAAATGCTCCCTATTGATGGTAACGGCATATCCTCCTTCATTTCAAAAGATATAACGCCCGATGATGCCACCATGGCACAATCTGCTCCAAACTGTCAATATTTGGGTATGCATTTGCGTTTCCTGAACCACACGAGAATTTAACTCACCCCAATAGCTTCAACTTTGTTTGTTGACGAAACCATTAAGCCAGAAATGAGGCTCATCTGAGAAGATGATATTTCGATTACAGTAGCGACCAGAGAACGTGAATTTACGTAATAATCTTGGACAATCTCCAAGCGTTGTGCCAAAGTGAAACGTCACATGATGAAATGGCAAACCTTACTGAACACGCTGATAAAATTTGACACAAATCCGTAAACAAACATGGCCACCACGTCATACCTTTTGGTAGCCGCTGTATGTATATTTATTTGAATACATGTGATAAAAGGCATTATATGAATCTTAATGAATCTAAAAATTAAATTTTGGAAAAGTTAAAATTTGCATAAATAAAAAGTAGTAGATTAGCAATATTCCTCTACATGTTGAAATGGCGGCAATAATTAAATCAACCGTTATGGCTGTAAAATAACGGCTATTTTAATTAAGTTATAAAATAGTTTGGCGCGTTCAAATTGCTATAAAAGTAAATAAAATTTACAAACAAATGCAAATGCAAATTAGAAATGAAAGGGCACAAACGAAAGTGCAAGCGGTTGCAACATCACACTACCTTCACGCCACAGCCGCCCTTTCGGCTGCGTTGCAAGCGCCACACCTCAGAAGCAACAATAACATCATATCCATTGACGAGGACACCTACGCATCGAAATTGTTTGTGTTTTTGTTGTTGTTCTCCCCCTATCTAACGATGGCAGATAAATTGGCGAGAAGGGATTACGCGACACAAAAGGGTATTTTAATTGAGTTAAACTCTTCTAAAAGGCACAGAACTTAAACAAACACTTTGTTGCAGCTTAACAGGCACATATTACATGCTGTTGCGTATATAACTGCAGTAAAATGCTAAAATGGCTTGAGTCAATTTTCGATTTTTATGAAGAGTTGTGTTATTCATCACAACTTATTTAATAATAATGGTTATTTTTGGTCTAAAATAAAAGCTTTGTATTGCAAGTTACATTATCAATCAAAAATGCAAACGGCAATTTAAGTCGACTTAAGCTTTTTTAACATATTATTACAGTTATGTATTTACTTCTAGTGCATGCGAGTCAAAAATAAGTTGTGACTTTGAAATTACCTTCTAGTTGAATGTTAAACTTTGCTGTGGCTCATCAAAAAACTACATTGACACGCGCTTAGTTAACATAAATTATATTTATTTAGCATTTCTATACCGTTGAACAAGAGCAAACATTAGCGTAACATTAAAGTCTGCACTTGCGAACATTTGTTGCATGAAAATTTCTTGTATTTTTTAAAATTTGTTTTTGTTGTTATTTATTGTTGCTGTTGTTGTTGTAGCATTACCGATTTAACATACACTGATAGGCAATTCCGCACACGCGCGTTTCATTTCTTTTGCTGCTTGCCACATTTTTTCAAGGACTTTGTCACAAACGGTGTGGACGGTTGACGGAAGATGCCATGGCCATTATATGTATTAGCTGCCATCAGTTCATCTTTCTTTTGTTTTGGTTTGTCGGTCACAATTTATGTACGCGATGTTTAGGCTAACATGTTTGTGCATGAATATGTGAACGTTATTACAGCAAATCCGGACAAAAATAACCACTCGACAAATCACTCATACAAATATGTACATGTAAATATATACCTGTATGTGTGTGTGAGTGTGTAGGATATTTAACTGATAGTCAAGAGCATATGCGTTTGCCTTTAGCTCAGCATATAACGGACATAAGCTCTAATTAGTTTCACTTCAACTGTTTCAGCAGTATTTCCGTTCACATAAATATGTTTGTTTGTGTGCGTGTATGCATATGCAGTGTTATATTTAAAAGCATAAAGCTTAAACTCTAATATACAAAATTAAATTTTCAACACACTCACTGGTGTTGCAAGATAACGCCAGTGTTGCTTTAAAATTCAGCAGCTTTGCTCGCGGCACGTCCAGTTCGCTTCGATTACCGTCACAGACTGAAAATTCGAGCACGAGAGCGCCTTTGGTGTAGTGTGAAGCGGCGAAGTGCAAGTAGCGAATAGACAGTAAACGAATGAATGTTACGTATACGCCCCGTCCACCACCAGTTAACAGTTACGTATACGCAACGGTTAATATGCGCGTGCCGGTTTATCAGTTAGCATAAACTTGCCGCTATTGAAGTATTTGAAAATCACGAGAGCGAAATGAGAATATTATGGTATGGTAAATCACGAAAAAACAAACCAATTTCTGCATATACATATATATCTTTGTGTGTATGTGTGTGCGTTTGAGAACGTAGGTAAATTTATTGGAAATATACAAATATCATAATATACCAGAAGTGTAGTTAAAATGGGAATGTGTGTGTATATAAAGGGTGTTTTTTTAGGTACGATGACATGTTTCTCAACTGAAAGGTAGGTAAATATCTAAATATAATATAGCAAGCAATATAAATATGTATCTGTGGTAATAGAATAAAAAAGTCTAAGACGATTTAAGCTATTTTTGAAATTTTTTATTATTCTAAGCAAGTTTTTGGCGCTTTGACGTATTATTTTCTCATAAACGATACTGAAGAATGGATAACTTCAAATTTCTTCAAAAATGAGTTTTAAGGAATTTACAATTTCTTATTACAAACCAAAATATATGTCTCAACTTAAGTTGACTTATGCTATTTCGCATATTTCCGTTCAAATCTATAAAATTTCATGTTAATACTTTGATTTAAAAAATTTTAAGATATATTATTCCGAATCAGATTTTCAATAAATCGTTGATGACATTTTCGAAATGAAAAAGATGCCTACTTATTTCAATAGCTGCAGGAGGGTCTTTTCTTTGCATTTTTTGAGAAAATTTTAAAAAGCAAATAATAAATATATTATATTACATAAATTAGATTCTTTTAATGTATATGTACATATATATATAAGTATTAGCTATAAGTATATGTATATATATATATATAATAAGTAAAAAAAAGGTGAAACAAATTTTATTTTATTTAGAACTTAAAAATGTTAGTTTACCCCTCCTTAAAAGAAAATAATGCGTAAAAGATAAAAATTAAAAACCAAAAACTTGGTTCTTTGAATTTTTCATACAAATTTTAAGGTTATGTGAAGAAAGTATCGGCACGAAAGTTGTACATCTTTTTATTACCCAAAACTTCGCCATGTAATTTTTTCGCATAGGACTTGTGAATATTCGGGAAATCGAGACTAACCATGTTTTACTCCTAAAAAGCCAATCCCGCCTCTCCCTACCACTTCACAACTTTATTATTTATTAGTTTCATTTTATTATTGTATTAAATTATTTTTCCTTTCATTTTTTTATTTTTCTTTTCTAATGGATTTCATCCTAATTTTTTTGAATTTTTTACCATTTTCAACGTCTTCAGCCCTTAAATATGAGAAAATATATAATTATGTGATTTTTGAAAAATTAGAGCCAATATTTCACTTGGAAAACTTTTAATGATTTTGACAAGTTGTCATAAATACAACAGTATTAAACCTCTTTTTCCACATAAACTTAACATAAATTATTGTTGGCTCTCACGGAAGTATTTTCCTTTCTTAAATCACCTTAAATATTTACAAAAATATAAAGAAAACCTTAAGTAAAACAAAATATATACATTAAAAGTACAAATCGGGTATATATGACATAAATAAATACATACGTATATACTTATGTCCTTTCTATGTTCAACTCAGCAACAAGCTGAGCACCTGTGTGAGGTAAAAACTTGTAACTCTTTCACTCACGTTTTGGTTAGAGAAAATATGTCATTGTGCATTCGCTCATCTTCACATATTAACATAATCTATATATGGTATATATGTACATAAGGATGCATATATGAGTATGTAAATGCATTACACATATGATATAACCAAAAAGCATCGTAGAGTACAGCGTGGACACCTGTAGTACAACCAAAAGCTTTTAATGGCTACAAGTGGCTTATGCAAGTAAACATTTGTGTATGTATCTAAATATATTAGCTTTTACAGCGAGAGTCTTAATCGTTTTTACCGTTTGGTGTTTGTCAATAACTGTAGCTACAGCTTTGTTAATTTTATTTATTTTACCCTTCAATAATATTTACATTGCCTGTAATCGGCAGGCTGTAATGAGTTTAAGCCAGTTAATCGATTTCCCTTCAGAACTTTTGTGAATTTCGGTTATAGAGGAAGAAGAATGACCTGGTAGGTCATTGCGAACTACATATATACAGACCATGCAGAAAAATTTTTATGGTGATTGGATCATTTGTCTTCGAATAATCACTCTGATGGAGTTGATTGAACTCAGCGGCTAAATTTTCGATAGCTGTAACTAAAAAACCGATTTAAAATTTTAGTATACATTTTTAAAGGTACAGCATATCGAAATATGAAAAGTAACCTAACCTTAACCTTGAAATTTTTTAACTCAAACTTCAGTCAAATATTACTGAAGAGGAAACCGGGTTTTTGCATTAAAATATCTAATGCAGGCGGTTTAATTATTTGGTTTAATAAAGTTAATCAGTTATAATGAAAATAAAAAAAATAATTCAGTCAGATTTTTTTCAAATAAAATAAAATATCTTGAAAAATTTTAGCAACCACAAATTATAATATAAATAATCTTATAAAATTTCAGAAAATCACTCTTCTTTAGTATAAAAATCATATACTAGCTACTAATACAAATCCTTATTGAGGAAATTTCAATAATTAAGCGAACGGAAGCAGCAGCAGATAAGTAATAAAGCATTTGCTCACCGTACTTACAGAGGAAATTATGTTGCGGCAGAGAAAATAAGAACGATGGAGGTGAAAATGGAAATATAACAGCAGTCACCCTGTACGAAAAACGTTAATAAAACTGCATGCAAAAAAATATATAATAAATATATATGCTTTGATTTTAATATTAACAACAGTACATAATTGCTGTCTTCGATTCGCCAACCATTAGAGAGTAGTGTATCGAATAAACTATTGCAACTGTTGAAATATACTTACAGTGCAAGCTTGGCCCAATATGTCTTCGAATACACACTACATTTTAGTAGAAGTTTCGAATTTCGCTATTACTGATATAAACTCAATCCGTTAATAAAGTTTCGATTGAAGTGTTGTCAAATTTCAACTTTTTTGTGGTTTTACGGTTTTCCGCTCTGCGCCAGTGGGGTTGACTATGATATCAAAAAATTATAACTGTTACCAAGCAGTAAATTGCATACAAAACCTGTATTCATAATACTGGTATTTAAAACCTCCTTAACAACCGTAGGTGGTATCGTAGTCTGCGCCCGCACAAATTAAAAATTATTTAAACTGCATTCTGGTTAGCTATCGGCAGCAAGGAAAGGTAGAATTTGTAACACTGCTAGTAAAGAAAACAAAATTAGTTCTTTCTTAAACGAAAATGACTTAGTAATTTGCACATTGGCATACTTAGTGTTAGCAAGTTCTAATGGATTTCAATGATCAGGAAAGCTTTGTTTTTTTTTTGTCATCGTAAATAAATCAAAACTAATATTCATTTTAAAAATTATCTACCTTTTCATGAGAAACGACTAAATTGAATGGTTTTGATTTTTCGTTTAAAAAAATTCTGCTGTTTACATTATATGTCAAACCTACAATTTATAGGTTCGCAACACTAATGAAACTTGGTTTGAAAATAGTCGAAATTCGTAATACCAAAAGAGATTTTGATTGTTCTAGAATTGGATTGCTTTAACTTCAATTAAACTGAGTGAAATTGAAAACCGCAATAGGGATATATATTTTAAATTAAGTATTGACTCAAAATAATTATTTTTTGTTTAATAGCAAATATTAAGTCTCATATTTGATACATATTTCACGTTTGAGCATGATTTATCCGCATACTCTCTTGTTTTGAATTCAACTCGCTAACGTCATTATTGATTTAACATTTTTTTTTTGACAAGATAGTGAACAAAGAGATGACGTATTGAAGACGGTTAGCAAAATATTCGGATTCGAAATTAAAATAACACAATATTTTGGTTTTCGAAAATGATTGAACTCACAACTTAATTCCTTTTAAGTTGTTTCCTCCAATTTTACTTTTTAAGATTCCTAATAATTGAGACTGAGTGAATATCTCTTCAAATCATACAAAACTTTTTTACTCAATTAAAATTGTGTGCTGCAATTTTACACTGTTTGGTTAAAACAATTCCTCTTCTAAGTTTATTTGAGTATCGACTCTCCGAAATAAGTGAAAAATTCAGACATTTTTGACATTTTTACTTTAAGCTAATATTCACTTATACTTATTTTAAAGTTAATCGTAGTGAAAGACTTCCTCTAGCATAGAAGAAAACCCTTAATCATGAATACCACTGACGCTGGCAAAACCTAAAAAAAATTGTTAGGAAATTACTTCAAAATCATCAACATTTTTTTTACAGTATTTACTACCGATTCTGCCTATTTCAACAATATTTTCACTGCCAAAAATAATCGGTTGATATGAGGCGAAAATTATTATGCTTTTAATAAGATAAAAAATTTTAAGTTGTTCGAAATTGTGTTGAACTTATATATGTCGTAGTATATGTATTGGAATACTATAAACTTTGATTCGATAGAACTTGTTGAAATAAAATGTTCAGATCAGAGGGATGTAGCATATAGCTGCCATACAAACTGAATGATCGGAGTCAAGTCCTTGTATGAAAAACTCTTTTATTTGTCAAGGAATATTAACAAAGCTTGGTGTAGAATATTATTCAAGGCATTGCTATAATTTCCGTACATATTGTTCAAATCGGACTACTATAGCATATAGCTGACCGATCAAGATCAGAAAAATTATATTTCTATACCCTTTTATGCTATGAAAAATGCACCTGTGTAGAATACTATAATTTCGGTGCAACCGAAGTTAATGTTTAATATTGTTCCTACTGGGTTACTACCTGTAACTGGTTGTTGAATTTGCGCCAAATTATATTGGCATGGAATT